CCTTCTAATTTCTTTTACCTCAGTCATCAGAAGATGTTTCGGTCAGAAATGTCTCAGGTCAGATGAAAACCTTCGTGGTTTTCCAGATGTTGAGAATATCAAACGCATCACCTAAATAGACTCATTGTCTATCACACTCTACCTAGGCAATGCACGAGCAATTATTTTTCTTGTAATTGATTAATCATGATTACATTTATTAACTACTCCTCTCTATTGTGTCTTGGGAACAATTGTTTCATGTTGTATTCCTATGTTTTTGAATGGTATGACTGCTAAGATCTTCTTTGTAGGGTTCTAATTGAGTGTTTTCGTGTTCTTCTATCTTAACTTTTGATCTACTTCTCTTTTCATTCCATCCTTTTAGCAGTCTGTGGCGTCATTTGATTCTCTCTCTCGAAATTAGTTCCTTTGAGTGTTTCAATCATCTCATTTCTTGAATGAATTAAATGACTATTTATATCTCTTCTCATTTATAGTCTTTCATCAAGTCCTTGTCCTTGTATCATCTTCAACTGTTTCTTCTCTTCAAGCTTTTATGCATACCATGGCTGTTAGAATCTTTTAAGGAGATGAAAATATTCTCGAAGTAATCAAAGAAAAAGAACCCAACTATGTGTCTGATGATGGTTTCATCAACGGTTTTATTGAAAATCAAGGATGGACTGGGTATGCAACAATGCTTAGAGGTCCTATTTATCCTAACCTCTTTAATAATGTATGGATTCATATTTTTTTTAGTTCTGGTGGAAACTTCATTCATTCTCATATCTTTGGTATTCCGATTGCCATCACTCGCTCCTCCATTGATGAAATCATCCAGAGTCCACCTTTACCCAACTCCTACATGAATGTTTATGTGTTTCTAAGAGTTCCTAATTATCCCTTTATATATGAGCCCCTTAATCCATATCATTTAAAACCGCTTGCAAAAATTTGGTTTTAGTTCTTGATAAGAAACCTTCATCCTAGAGGGGATATCTTGATAAAGTTTTTCCCAGGGATATGTGTCTTCTCCATTGCCTTCGCAAGAGTACTGCAATTCATCTTTCGAGAATAATATTTAATCATCTAAAGCTATCAATCCTTGCATCCAGAAACTCCCAAAAATCGTTCATTCCTTATAGACGTGTATTATCTGAACTGTTTGAGTTAGCTGGTGTAATTGAAACTGTTCGAAGAAACCCGTTCATCAAAGGCAATGCTCTATTTGATGAGAGTTGTGATGTGTTTGAAGTTTAGATAGTTTTCCTTGTTTGTCTTTATTTTGTTGTTTCTCCTTCTGTTGTAATCATTTTCAAATATCAATAAAACTTCTTTTCTTACTTGTTATTTCTTCTGGTTTTTATGTTTTTCACACATAATTACCTTTTTGATTATGACAAAAAGGGGAAGTAATTAAATGAACGTAAATTTTGATTTCAATAATCAAGTTCTGGAAATTTTTCTCTAAAAAGAGTTGCTTACATTCTAACCCAGTTAAACTTTTGTTTCTGTTATAATTGTTTTCTTTTTCAGGAATTATGAACTCTGATTAAAGACAAAGATCTGAAAGCATTATGCAAGGCTTATTTCTAACTTGTTGGCTTCATACTATGAAGATATTTTTCAGTTCATAATCAAACTCTAAGAATTGAGAATCTGGAAGCTATCTTAGTGACATTAAAGTTTCAAGATTTCAATTGATTTCATTGGCATCTAAAGTCAAGACTCTCAAGATCTTAATATCTGATCTATTGGAACTAGGGGGAATTTTACTCAAAAGGTTCAAAGTCAGGATATTCGAGCTTCATCAAGTCGTTGACTCAGGGGGGTTTCATAAAAAGGATAAGTATTCCTTACCTTTTTATTTTCACTTTTCTGATTATATGAACAAAATTGTGTCATCAAAATACATAGTTTTGTCATCATCAAAAAGGGGGAGATTGTTAGAACAAGATTTGGTTCTGTAATATTATCTGAGTTTTGACGATAACAAATGAGTATGTTTGTATGAACAATTTTGATACTCTAATGTTTGTTATTTTTGAGTATTTAACAAACAGGTTCTGCTTGATGGATGGTGTGGCTAAGACATTAGAAGAGAATTAGTCCCGCTTCTGTGTTACACAAGCTCTAATGAACAATAGCAAGACACTCCAGAAGACTATGAAGTGTAGGATCTGATATGAAGTCTAAAGAAACTAGTCATAATATTTGAAGACAAAAGTTTCTACTGAAGTCCAAATGCTAAAAACTCATGTTTCTGAAGAAAACATGTTCTAAAGAAACCAGTCAGAAGATTTGAAGACAAAAGTTTCTACTGAAGTCCAAATGCTGAAGACTCGTGTTTATGAAGAAAAAGGGTTCTCAAGACCAAGTGCTGAATATTCTGATAGACGGAGTTCTGAAGATTCTTAAGACTTGAAGTTCCGGTGACCCAAGGTTTTACAAAGGGTTCTAAAGACCCAGTGTTGAAGACTCTGAAGAAATAAGTTCTAAAGACTATGAAGACTTGAAGTTCTAAAGACCCAAGGTTCTAGAAAAGGTTCTCACAACCAAGTGCTGAAGATTCTGAAGACGCATTTCTGAAGACTCTGAAGACACAGTTCTGAAGACTCTGAAGACTTGAAGTTCTGATGACCTTGTGTTATGTTCTCGCTTCTAAACTCATGCTCGCAAAAGCCTCTTAAGTGTAGAAGGAAAGAAGATAACGTTAACATGGTACAAATAGTACATGGTACAATCAACGTTTCATTCCACTACCATGAAAGGACAGACACGTTGCACGATCTTGTCCCCCACGTTACTGCTCAAGTCGCCAATGCTTCTGGAAATCCCAAGAGTACCCCTCAACAAATATATTATTTTTTTGGCTATATAAAGGCTTGAAGACTAAGAGAGAAAGCTCCTAATTCACGGAATATCCACGCACAAGCGTTGTTTATAGCTTTCATACTTTTTAGTCTATTGTTATTAAAATTTGTTTACTAATCAGCTTGTGTAGAAACATTTTCATTGTAAGTAAATTATTCAAATAGTTGTTTGATTGTTCCTTGAGAGTCCAGTTAGGTCATAATTCTTGAGAAGTTTAAGACTTGTGTGTCTTAAAGATTTTTCCTTAAGGGACTAGTTAGGTCAGTATCCTTAAGAAGTCTAGGACTTGTGCTTCTTAGAGGTTGTTGTTAGTCACTTGCGGGTAGCTTATGCATTATAATAATCAGTTTGATTATTGTTTGATTTTCCTTAAGGGATCAGTTAGGTCAGAATCCTTGAGAAGTCTAAGATTAGTGTGTCTTAGAGGTTGTAACGTTAGTCACTTGCAGTTAGCTTGTGCATTGTAATAATCTGTGTGATTATTGGATTAAGATCTTGTTGAGAAAGGCGAAATCACCTTAGCGGGTGGACTAGACTAGCTTGACTATTTTCAAGTGAACTAGTATAAACATACCCTGTTCTTTACTTCCTATTTTTAATTATTGTTATTATCAAGAGTGGGGAAAACATTTTTTATTTAAAGGGGATTATTTTTAAAGAAAAGTTTTTGATTCAAAACTCAATTCAAACCCCCTTTTTCTTGTGTTTTTTCACACCTTCAGCAACCAACAACCTATTCAAAAGTTGAAACAGGATGACACCTAATTGAGAAAGTGTGATTGTCCTTTTAAGGTTTGTGGATACCGCAAAGCGAATAGTACATGGAAATTTAACGTGGTTTATGGTATACATAATCATTACTTGTGTAACAAGTTAGTCAGTCATCCAATTGTATGTCTACCTTAATCCTGAGGAGAAGGAACTTGTTTTTGAGACATGATATTGTTTCTAAGGTCCATAGTGAACTAAAACTTGTATAAATATGTGGTCTCTCATATCATGTTGTTCATAAAAACACACCACACCAGAATGAACATATATTGACATGTCGCATTTGTCTACTTCAACAGTGTGAAGCCCTTAATTGAATTTAAGTCAAATTAATATACCTCTTTTGTAGATATGAAATTCATACTGAGAATCTCCTAGAATACTCAGACAACATAGAATGGTTCAATAACGAAGTATTAAGATGTGTGCATTTTGAGTGCGTCTAAAAATACATCTTCGAAATCTAGAAATTTTTGTGACTTTTCACTATATTGAACTAACACCCTTAAGAATAGAAAAAATAATACCCCACGATCAATATATATCTAAAACCTATTAAAGATTGAGAACTATCAAATTTAAGAATAAAAATAATACAATTTGAACCTCGAACAAGCTTTCCTTTATCATTGTAATGAAAATCATTAAAAAAAACTATACATTCTTTCTTTAATATCTTCTCAAAACACTAAAACACTTTCAAAAAGTTAAACTTGATTCCACATAAATCAAGGCGTTTTATATTCTTATCACTCTCATATAATGCATAGGATTTAATAGAAATACATCGATAATATAAAATAATTTTATATTATTAACAAAATCACAATCATTAATTTTTATAAAATATTTCTTTTTAAAAATTATAATTCACTGACCTTATAAAATATTTTACATCAACAATATATTTCATTTAAACTTTAGTGCATATTTTACAGATTATAAACCTCTTTCTTGACAATTTCCAACCCCCTCACCTAATGTCTATAACATCAATACTAAGAATTTTATTATTTCTTCTCCGATTTGCAACCAACCCATAAAAAATTGTATTCACATCTTCTTCTTTCAACTAGTTGACTCTTAGATTAGTTTTCTTTTCTTCTTTTAATCCTAAATTTTTAAATAGTGATCACAAACAAATAAATATGTTAGTTTTAGATTATTTACAAACATAATCACTTCTTAAAATAATAGATCATTTTACTATTTTTTTTAAATTATATTTGTGTCAATTTTTCCAAAAAAATATTTTATTAACAAAATAATTTTATATTTAAAAAGAAAAACTAATAGAATTACTAAAATTTAATTACTTTATATCAAAATAATTTCTCAGTCACAAAACAAACGCAGAGAGAGGAAGAACAACCATGGCTAGCGGCGGTTTGAAGAAGATGCTAACCTTGGCAATCGGCGAAGGAGTGTCTTCTGCACGAGCAACGATATTCGGCCATCAATTGAACCCTACCAGCAAGAAATCTCCTCACAAGATTCTCCGCATGAAAATGTTTGGTGAGAAAGTTGCTCAATGGTACCCTCGTGATATCAACAAAGATGATCCTCTTGTTATGGCTCGACAACAGCAAGAGTAAGTGATCTTTCTCTTTATGATAATGATTGCGTGCTATGTGTTTGTGTTTATGTCTATGTGAAATTGTTTTCTTTGTTTTGGAGTTTTTTTACGTGGGTTTGTTTTATTTTTGTTACTGGATTGAGTAGTGTTATAAAGTTCAGTTCTTTTTAATTGGGTGTATCATGGGGTTTGATAATTCAATTTCAGTGATTGGTTGATAGAAAAGTTTATTGTAATGAAAATTTTCTTGAGGGTTGCTCTCTATGTGTTTGTGTTTATGTCTATATGGTGTGTAATTATTTAGTTTTTGTCTTAGTTTTTTAACTGATGAAATAGTGTCATAAAGTGACTTTTTTATTAATTGGGTTAATGATGGGTTTTGACAATTCAAATTGAGTTATGCAGTTGATAGGAATGTTTGTTGTAGTGAACTGAAACCCATTGTAATGGTAGAGGGGTTGAATGATTTTCAAAGGGATTTTAGATGGTGACTGTATAAGATATCTAATGAACTGAAACTACTATGTCCTATATCCATCATTGAAAGACCCCTCATCAAGGTCTTTCTGCATCCCACTAATTTAAATAAGTCATCAATCCTTGGCAATTCATACACATTGCAGTGGATACAAGAAATCTGTAACTATTGTTGACATTACCTTTTCTTGAAGAGAGCCTTGTGCTTAAACTCAGTGTCCATGAAATCACTTACCTCGGGGATTTCGTTTTTGAAAGAACAATGGGAAATAGAACCTGTCATGTTGCCATTGATGGTCTCAATCTCTTTCACATTAGGCCGAAAGTTCAGCTTGATGAGTGCTTTATTGTAGAGGCCGAAATTATTCTTAATAAAGAATTAATTGGTTTCGTGGGATGATGGAGAAGATGAAACCAAATGGTTACTGAGCTGTTTCGCTAACTAGTTCTCTTCCATTTTGTGATTTGTGAAGATGAAATAATCTCAACCATAATTGAATTACTTATCTTTTTCTAATGTATCTAAGGCCTTGAATTCAAGTCTAGCGAGGGCTTGGATCCTCTCCTTCAACATTTCCTCCAACTATCTCCTTCACAAATATGGCCATGTCGTCTTGTTGCACCAAGTGTGTTCTATTAATTAACTGCAATTCATGTTAGTGTAGAAATTGTGTTGCCAAAGTTTGTGAAGGATATACTTTGGGTCACATTCAGAATATTTGACATATCTTTTACAGCTTATCTTACATTCATTTCCACACATTCAAGAATTTTGATACTTTTGTTACTTTGTTCTATGTAGACGCTTATCAAAGCTTGAAATGTTGAAGCGTCGAGGTAAAGGGCCACCCAAGAAGGGACAGGGAAAGCGTGCTGCAAAACGCAACAAATAAATTATACTCTTCCTTGTCTTGAATTCACATTCTGTAGGTATACTGTTTTAAATCAAATACCAGTAGTTGTTTCGGCAAACACCTTGAATTTCATCAATTTTATCCGAATGACAGATTTTTTCTTCCCTTGTTCCTGGGGAAAAAACTTAATGCATTTTATAGTTGAAACCATTAGGCTAATTTGGTTGGAGACGTCTCTCTTTTTTTTTTTGTGCCATTAAATTTTCATGAGTTGATAATCTATCTTGAAAGTTGGAATGCTATCACCGTCTTTTTCATATTGATTTTGCTATTACCGTCTTAACTTATGTTTGGATTGCTGTTTAAAAACTCCAAACGTACGAAATGGTGCGATTGTGTTAGTAGTTTTATTAACTGTTTGTTGAACAATTATGTATTATATAAGTATTTATATATCAGACCACCTTTTAGCTTATGGTAAGAGCACCTTCTTTTATAGGGAATATGAATTATCAAAGGATGTTCTTGTGGTTGTGATTTTCTAATCAAGAACCTAGAAATCCTTTAAATTGGCTGTTATAAACTACCTATTACTCAAACGGAACATGATAAATTGCAGTTGTTTTGCTACTGCCTGACTAATATTGCAGCAACAGACTTTTATTTTCAAGCTCTTTGGTTGCTGTTTCTGCCACTTACATAACATAACAACCATACATCATTCACATGTCACAATAAATGATTATCCAATGCATCAATCGTATGGTATCATCAACTAAGCCTTTGGTTGTGTTGTTCAAGTCCATAAACACATGCTTCCTAAACTAAAACGTGACTTGAACATACTGCAAAGTTGTTTGGAATATTTAAAATGAAATCAATTTTAGTCTTTAGAATTGAATTTACTCTAAAGCTTGAAATAATAGCTTCTTCAATTTTTCAAATTGATTATGCAGATAAAGTGTCATTAAAAGAAATGCATTTTCTTTCTATTACTTTTTCAAGGCCAAATTACAGGTTTTTCCTTTCAATTTTCTATTTTGTCTGATTCATGCAATTAGTCATTCTATTTTAAATTCAAATAGTTTAGTAGGATTAACTTTATGAGTAAGCTAAAATAGGGGAAGCAAAATATAATAAAATATACTTTTTATTATGAGTTTTGCTAATTTGTGTCTTAGAGCACAAGATACATAATTTAAAAGTTGGTACTGTGAAATTTGTTCTCTATGATGTTCTTACATGTGTTCCACCAAATAGTCCATTGGCTCCAGAATGGTATCAGATTGACAAGAAGAGGAAAAAGGAAAAAAGGGGAGCTGATGGTTGCTGAATAGTCCATTGTGTTGTACATGATACCCTTCCAGATTCCTATTCTTATATGTGGATTTTACTTTCGGAGACACCCGATGTTCCGGAGTAAGGCACCGGTTAACTTCTACCGCAGGTTACCTGCCCTCACTGATAGCATGCTGTAAATGGTATCTGTTGTGTGCGACAGTGTTTGAATCTAGCATTGAGTTTTTTGGCAGTGATTGTAAAATCCTTGGAGCTATTTTATCCATGATGTGGTAAGCTATATATATACACGTGCACGAAAACAAAGTCATAAAAATTCACTTAAAAAACAAATAAGATTTTACTTTTTTTCTTCTTTTAGCACTCACTCAATTTTCACTCTAATGGTGCAACTCTACATAATCCATATTAGATCCCACATTTTTACTTTATATATTAATATTTTATTCATATTAAATTTTATTTGATTTAAAATAATAATTTAAATTATTTAAATTAAAATTAATATAAAATAAATAAAATTAAAATTAAACATAAAATTTAAAATGATAATTAAAATTAATCTCAAATACATGACATATAATTAAAAATAATAAAAATAAATAACGTAATAGAATTACTCAAATTTAATTTTCATCATTCTCATGTCCAAAACGTTCCCAAATATGTTCAACTAGATTTTCTTGAAATTGACGACGAACTTGTTTTTTTATTGAAGACTTGCTCTTCTTTGTAGTCTTGTTGCAAGATTCGGATGAGGACCATTAAATGTTTAAGTTGTTGAGTACGTGTCGTCTATATTATCATAAGAGTAATCAAAATCACCTTCATATGTGTGTCGTTCGTCTTCAACAATCATGTTGTGCAATATGATGCAAGCATATATGGTATGCTTGAGGATTTCCATATGTCAGGCACGCGCTGGGCCACATATAATTGTAAATCTAGATTGGATGGAGCACTCTAAATGCCCGCTCCACATCCTTTATAGCTGATTCTTGATGTTGAGCAAATAGTTTTCTCTTTTCTCCCTGCGGCATTGAAATGGTCTTGACAATGGTAGCCCACTTATGATATATATCATCCGTTAAATAATACCCCATATTATATGATGTTCTATTGATTGTATAGTTCATAGTGGGAGCATGTCCTTCCAAAATATCGTTAAACACATTGGATTGGTTTAGCACATTAATCTCATTGTTTGAACCTGCAATACCAAAAAATACATGTCAAATTCATAAGTCTTGTGATGCCACTGTTTCAAACATGATTGTGGACTTACCATGACCACCTCGACAAAATTATCCTTTCCATGCAACAAGATAATTTTCCCATTTCCAATGCATACAATCAATAGAATCCAACATACCTGGGAAGTCACGTGACTCTCCCATTTGTAAAAGATGTTCAACATCTGTGTAATTAGGCTTTCTCAAATACCCTGTCCCAAATGCAACATTCACGTCCCGAGCGAATTTTTTTAAGCATTCAACCGAAGTGTGTTCACCGATTCAAACATATTCGTCTACACTGTCAGCGAGAGACCCATATGCCAACATACGAATAATAGATGAGCATTTTTGCAATGGTGAAAGATCCATATTACCAGTTGCATCGATCCTCATTTGGAAATATTCATCGTGATTTTCAAGGGCGACTACAATTCGAAGAAACACATGCCTATGCATTCTGAACCTTCTTAGGAATTGAACATCTGTGTATACTGTATTTTCTGAGAAGTAGTCATTGAATAAATGAGTGTGCCCTTCTTCATGACTTCGATCTATCTCTGTTCTTCTCTTTGGCCTAGAGAAACTTCCAGATTGATGTTCTTTCTCGAGCATTGATTTTAGTAGTTCCTCATCAGTGTTGTCCATAAATTCTTCTTCAATCAAGTCCCAAAAGAGATCATCTGAACAGTCTGAATCCACTAAAGTGAGTGAAGAATGAAAGAAGAATAAGATAATAATGAGAGAAGAATGAGAAAATAATGATAAGAGTGGCCATTTATATAGTGATATATGAATAACGACTAGTTTGAATAACAACTAGTTTGAATAACGGGTAGTTTTATTAACAACTAGTTTGAATAACGGCTAGTTTGAATAACAACTAGTTTGAATAACGGCTAGTTTGAATAACAAAATAAAATTTCTCATAAATTAAATTGGTACTAATGACCATTTTACATAGGTGCTGATACATAACAAGTACTACAACTTTTTATCATGACTAAAGTCCATATTTTTTTTCAACTTATTACAATATTTTTCATGAATATCTTGTTGACTATCATTCATCATAGAAGTGTCTTTCGAGAGTAATTATATTGCTTTAAACTCCATCTCGTCCTTCTTACATTGAGCTAGTATTTTCATTATTGCTACTCTTTTATTTTATGTATCTTGCACAATATTAAAAGGTGATTCAGATGCATTTTCCTTTTCCTTACTCTTTCTTTTTGCTACTTATTGTCTCATTAGACGCTCCATTGGTGATGATGAGTTAAACTCATAACTTGAAGGTGTCTCAAGGTTAGACGATGATGAGTGTTCCCCACTAGCTGAATTCTTTATTCTTTTTGAAATTTTTTCGATTGATGCTCCCATCCATTTAGGTTCATCCTTTAACAATCGCCATGCGTACTCAAGATTGAATGGTGTACCTTTATCCGGAGCAAAAAAAACATAAGCAACGGCCAAGATATCTTTCCTAGATGTCCCACTTGTCTTTCATTAACAACTTGTTTGTAACACCAAATAAATTTTTGAATCAATTCATTTATTCGATGCCATTGAGATTTTAATTGCCCACGTAGCTTTTCCCGCAACTGCCCACGATATTGGTTATAATTGGTAGCAATTCTTAACTAAAAACTCTCAGATTTTTTATCAACTCCTACAATTGGATCATTTGAAACATTGAGCCTTGATTGGATAAGAAGTGTATCATCATCTCTTGTAAATAGCTCTCGTGATTTTTTAATGATACTCCTTTCTTCTTTTTCAATACCAACTTGAGTTGAAAATGGTGGAACTTCACTTTCGGACATAAAGCCAATTGGTGTTTCCGGTTCATGACGAACAAATTCCATCACATGAGTATTTATTTGAGGTCTATAATACATATTTGGATTGTTTGGTGACAGAAAAAATGCAGCAGAGTTTGTTGGCATTGATGGGAAATGAGAATTATGAGGATTACGATTTTGATAATTTTGTATGAAATTAAACATAGACGTTGAAAATTATATTGATTATGATCCATTTGGCCTAAACAATGTTAATTTTGAAGTAAAATAATGAAAATTTGGGTAAATTATGTTGTCAAATGAAGACTAATGAGAAGAAATTTTTAGAGAGAAATTTATATTTACGAGCAAATAAAAATATGAGAGAAAATTTGTGAGTAAATTTTTTTAAATAGAAGTATCTATAATAAACTAATGTGTTAAAAAAAACTAGTCGCTCATCAACAGACATTTTTTTATTAGGAAGGACCATTGCATTGCATTTGCACGGTAGTCCAAGCTAGTCAACTCCACCATCATGTATTTTAACGAAACGTTATGTCATTCTGGCGGATAGCATGAAAAATCCACCGCTGGAGCTGCTCTAAGGATCTGTTTGGTGCGCATGATATGATATAGATATGATAAGATATAAAATAGGATAAGGATAAGATATAATATAGATAGGATATATATATATATATATATATATATATATATATATATA